AAGACATTTCAAGGCAAAGAAAGCTGACATTTACACAAGATAGGTGTCTGTCTTCTTTGTAAAGTAAGAAGGGTCATCTGCTCAAAGTAAAAAGTGGTGACACTGGAAGCAGACAGAATCTTTTTAAAAAGGGAGAATACTGCTTTGAAGAATATCATGGGGCCAGAGGCACCTTAAATCCAATTATGTCCCAAAGAATTCATCTTCTTCCCCTTCAAACTACCAATCATCTCAATTTCTCTACTCCTACGCAGCGCCAATCCCCGGTCACCAACACACAAAATTTCCATCACTTGGAGTCTTCCTTCTCTTAGTCCTTATATCTAATCAGCTGGTGAGCCATGAAGATCCTACATCTGCATATCCAGTCCATTTCATTTGTCAACACCTTACTCATCACAGGTTACCATGGGACACAGATAAATGTATTAAGATTTATAGCACATCCTGTGATAGAGTGTATATAGTGTAATTAATATTATGATAGTTGTGGAAGCCTGCCCAGAGGAGATATAAGGATTAAACTGAGTTTTGGAAGACCAAAATGCTAGAAAGGAGAGGGGCAGGAATGAAAAGATGCATCAGGATCAACAAAGAGCAGTGAGTCACCATGGCCCTTTCAGAAAACTAGGTATTTCAGTGAGAGATGAACCTAGACCACTGTTGATAAGAATCTTCTCATCTTACAAAAGAGGTAAGTGAAGTGTAGAGAGGCAAATTCACTTTCCCTTCTTTGCTATGCTACTGTTATCAGGAGCATGGCTGTATAACATGTATAAACATTTTTCATATATCCAGCAAAAATAAGTAATATTTTCCAGTATCCTCAGAGAAGAAGGTAAAATGAATCAAGCCTCCAGATAGCTAACATTTCCCCCTGTAAGTATTTTCAGTCATTTCAGTTGGAAATCTTTCTAAAATGTGTTCTAGTTCTCCCTTTCTTAAACAAATTATACCAAACAGAATGGCACTGGGAGATCTCTATTCTATTCCCAGTTCTAACACTTACTAATTGTGCGATTCTGAGCAAGTCACTTCTAACGTCTTGAGTTTTAGCTGCTGCTTCTTTTAATTGGGAAAAATATCTTTGCCCTCCCTAAATAGGGGTTGTTATGACAATTAAATATGTGAAAGTACTTTGTAATGGGTAAAATACTATACAAGTGTAGGTATTACTAGAATTTATGAATAAGTTAATGACCCAGGTATCCTTAAGAACATAAATTATTATATGATTCTACACCAATGACATGCTTGGGGTGTACTAACAGGCTCTTAGCCCTTATACTAATTAGCCACAAATAAATTTTTAAAAAATGTCTGTTTTTCAGTTTTTCCCTCTCCTCCCTTGCTAGCAGCTATTAGTATACTTTTAACTAAAATGCATCCCTTCTAATTTGCTGCTTCTCACACACTATTGGATTGGAAGCTTATTATAATTGTGCATACATTTTAGATGATTCAGAGGTCAGAGGCTCTCCTATAAATAAACCGATGAACTTCTGCGCACAGACTATGGAAATCTAGTTCTGCCATTTAGGGATCTGTCTTCTTTCATTTCAGATGTCTTCCAGAGAATTGAAGCTGCTGGATAAGTGAGTTCCACATGTGAACTGCTACCATATAAAAAACCTCATCATAATTTATCCCAATGTGACCAACTAACAAAGCAATCCCTGACAGTTCTGGCTACAGAGATCAGTCACAATCAGTAACTCTTCAGAGAATATAAATACAAGCATTTTAAAAGGAGTCTTCATTTCGGAAAACCAGCATTGTTTAACAGGTAAGTGTCAGAAACAAACACTCTGCTACCTTCAAGTGATGTGTGCATCCTAGGACAAATGAAGACCACTGTTCTCAGCTATAATTAGAAGTTAATCCTGACTTACCTCACAAGCCTGATGCAAGTAGTGACAAATAATAATGAACAATTTTAAAAAATACAAAGTCCCACAGCAAAGAAAAATTTTTAACCATGTATCCTTTTTGTACCAAAAGCTGAATGGCCACAGCATAAGCAGTAAACAAGATAGGTAAAATCAATCTTTTCTTTCTTAAAAAGTTGTGCATAGCACATCATTTTAAGAAAGAACTCCATTTCAAAGTATTTTCCCCAATCTAAATCACTTCAGATACTTACTTCTATACTTACCAGGCTGTGACGGCTCATAATTGTTGTACTATTCCTCCGAGTTCTAAGTGTGTAAGGTTGAAAAACCTGTGAAAGGTCACTGAAAAAAACAAAAACAAACAAAAAAAACAAAATTAGTAATTTTTCTAATGGAAGATCTCTTTCAAATACATTAACATCAGTTTTCTAGTTAACAACGAAATCTTCCATGGCTCCTCATTTCATACAGAGAATGAACTCCTCACCGTCGTCTCTGCAGAGCTTCCCAAGTGGTGTGCTGTGGATTACAGGTTTGCAGAGATACTGATCTCAGTGGTTGGGGGCAGCTGGGAGAAGTGGTGCAGGCGGAGCTCCAGACTGGTTGACTCTAGCTGCTTCTGGTCAGAGCTACGCCCCCAAACCGGTTACCACCAGACCTGAGCAGCCTCATCTGTTTACCCCAGAGAACCAATGAGTACTGTTTTCTGTGTTTGCCATGATGCGAAAAGGGGCGAGGAGCATTGTTCTACAATACGAGGTGGATCAAGACATCTCCCCCTTCACCCTAAGCATGTGTCCTACCTTCGAACTCTGCTGTTGGATGGAATAAACATAGCAGAGATTGTTGCCCCTTCTGCCTCAAATGCTCTGCCTCCTGCCACCATCTATTAAAATCCTTCCTCTCCTTCCACATCCATCTTGAATGCCATACCCTTCAGTGAAGGCATGGCACAAACCTCTCTTCAATCCACAAACGGAATGCAATCACTCTCTCCTTTGAACCCAAAGAGTACACTGGGAGATGAGCTGCTTCTTGAGACACCTACTTTGTCTCTTAATAAAGAGAAATGTGGATGTGTCTTAAACCCACTGGTAGAGAGGTGTTTTATTCATGTTTTATAATATCCCTGCAGTGCCTAGCAGAGGGCGATGCCACAATAAGGATGAGAATTCCAGAAGGATTTTTCAGAAATGAACTGCACTGGGCTTTCGGGGCCCACTGAGATCACCTAATTCAGCTCTCTTAATTTTCAAATGAGAAAACAGACTCAGAAAGGTTAAATGACTCATTCGTGATCATAGCTAGTTAGTGAAAACTGGGACCAGACCTGGTCTCCTCGCCCCTTCTTGTGTCACATCATGCTATGTTACTTAAATCATGATTCAAAAAACAGTATGTTTTTGCTACAATAGTCTAAATGCAGGTCAATAGAATTGCTGAAGTCCCTAGCAATTGCTTGCTTACGAGATTTCAAAAGACAATCAGAAAAAGACCAGTTTATTGTTACAGTAACCAAAATAAATTCAGGGCCAAGGACAGCAACAGGAAAGCAAAAAGTCACTCCTACATTCCCTCAGTTTCAAAATTATATTTAATAAATGAAAAAGTCAACCTGTTTTTTCCCCAAAATATGGATGTTATAATCAGTTCAACAACAAGGATTATCTCTTTCTTTGCCTTCACTGTGCTTGATTAATATGTTTTTGGCTAATTGTACTCTCATCTCCTTTTTTGGACTAATGCCATTTCTACAGGGTCTCGCAAATTGGCTCTCTACCTAAGATGAATTGTCTCCTTATAAAAGTGAAATACAATAGGCTCAGGAGATGAACCAACCTAACCTTCACTATTACAAGATGCTACCTTAAAATAGACCCTTGATGACTTATTCACATGAAAACACAAGACCCTACCACCGAAATTGAAGAGTCGATTCTCTCCACCGTTTTCTAAAACGTGCCTTTTCACTGACCCTAAGCTACAGACCACCCTTCTTTTTTATTCACTGCAATGCATTTCAGGCAGTTTTGGAACCTGAAAACATTAGAGTAAATCCAAATCACGTACTGTGATGTGAACATACCACTTAATTACAAGTTATTAGATAAAGTGTGATTAAAGTAAACCTCTGTTAATACCAGGATTCCTAAACTAAGCTTAGAAATAGCAGCTCTGAGAGACAGGTGTCAAGTTGCATATCTAGTTCCAGGGGTTTCGATCTGACATTCCCTGGTGTAAGTTAGTCGGGCAAGCAACCTGTCAGAAGAGCCAGAAGCTTTCTGCAGTTCCTTTTACAGTGGGACAACATGGCCCCAGGTGGAGGGGGAACCGTTTCCTCCACACTGCCCAAAGTTGGAGATTAAACTTTCACTCCACCTTGGGACCCAAGTCACTATCAAGCAAACGAGTCGCCACCCCCTCAGGCTGAAGAGCCCAAATGAGCTCAAACGTGCACTTTAAGGAAGGAAGATTGCTCGCACGGGGGCAAGGAGCCCCTGAACCCTGTACTCCATCCTCCCCAACCCTGCTCACCTGAGCCCATGGATTAGGGGAGCGCTGCTGGATCTCCTCAGGGTTCCCCCGTAAGATGTATCAGGCTCAAGGTCCAGCTCCATTTTCTCCTGAGCCATGTCAGACTTGCAGGCAGGCACAGCGGGCAGTGCTCAGCTCCTGGTGCTTAGCTATGGACTCCCAAGACTCTCACTGCAGGACTGAGCTGCTGGGGACTGGCAGCTGGGGGCGGGGGCTAAGGGGCGGAGGCTTGGGGACGAGGGCGGGGGCTGGGGGCGGAGAAAAGTAGGAGAGGAGGAGGGAAGGAGGATGATGATGAGGAAGGGAGGATGATGGTGAGGCGGGGAGGAGGATGCAGAGGTAGTGGTGGAAGGCGACAGAATGAAGGAAAAGGATGCAGGAAAGAAGAGGGATGGAGGGAAAACAAGGATGGAGGGAGGAAGGAAGAGGGAGGGAAAAGGATAGATGGAAAAGCAGGAGGACAGAGAGGATAAGAGGAGGAGGGCAGAGGGTGAAAAGGGAGAGGAAGAGGGCGGGGGAGGGAGGGGAAGGGAGAGGGCAGAGGGAAGGGAGGAGGACAGAGGGGAAGGGAAAAGAGGAGCGCAGGGGCGGGAAAGGAGGTGGTCTGGGGAAGAGGAGAGAGGAGGGAGAAGAGGAGGGGGAGGAAACTAGGCAGCGGCGGAACTCATGCTGCTATCTTTCCGGCTGAGGACCACAAGCGGGGCCGGGCTACAGATGCTGCGGCTGCCCGGGCAGCGCTAGCACCGAGGACCTGACAGTCGGGTAGGACCCGGCCGGGCAGCCTTGGCGACTCCAGCTCCCCATGCTCGGGGACCCGGTCCAGCCCCCCATGCTCCCGGACCTGGTCCCGGAGGCTCCTCAGCCCTGGGATCGGTGCTTCTCCCCTCCCTGCCCCCCTCCCGCCTCGAGGACAGGTTGGGGGTTCGGCCTCTCAGCCGCCGCCGCGATGCCTCCTCTTCCTCTCTTGGGTTCTAATGGTCTGGGGGAACACGCTGGGGCCAAGACCAAAATCTACAACCTGCAGTCTCTTCCGCCTCCCACGCTTCAGAAGCGGGAACCTCCGCGGGGCCAGTTCTTCCGCGTCCGGGCACCCATCGGGTCCTGCGCACGCGTCCAGCGGCCACTCCAATGGGCCCGCGGGCACGGTGCGTGCGTGGCAGCCCCGCCTCGAAATCCTCCTCCAAAGGGGAGGAGCGTTTCCAGGGGGCCCGGCGCCTTCCTCGATGGCATTGGCCTGGGGACCCTGGCGCCCAATTTTGAAAAGAACCAATAGTTGGGAAATGCTGGAGCATCGGCTTTCAGGAGGAGTTTGGGCCAATATTCATGGGAAACAGAGAAAAACATGGGATTTCCACGTTATTTCACTCCTAATTTGTACGCTCCGACCTCTGTGATCCCCACTCATGCCTTAAATCCCTCGATTTTGTTGGTCTTTGTCTGGAGGGGCTGATTTCTTTTTCAGATCATCCATTTGGATGCACTAGACAAAAGAGAAGTGGGAAAACAAACGCAATGGATAAAAATAAAGCGAATATCATGACAGTTCGTATAGCTAATGAGAAACTCAGTTCCATTTTGCAAGCATCTTTAGATTGAACAAAACTGGGAAAAGTCCGAAGAACAGGTAGCAAGCAGAACCAAATGTTTTCTCTTACTAGGAATTACGGAGTCCCGAACAATCATGACTCAGCGTGTGTGAGATCTGGATTTTTTTTTTTTTTTTTAAAAAGAGTCTCGCTCTGTCGCCCAGGCTGGAGGGCAGTGGCGCGATCTTGGCTCACTGCAACCTCTGCCTCCCCGCCCGGGTTCAAGCGATTCTCCTGCCTCAGCCTCCTGAGTAGCTGGAATTACAAGCGCCCGCCACCACGCCTGGCTAATTTTTTTGTATTTTTAGTAGAGACAGGGTTTTGCCATGTTAGCCAAGCTGGTCTCGAACTCCTGGCCTCAGGTGATCCACCCGCCTCCGCCTCCCAAAGTGCTGTGGGATTACAGGCACGAGCCACCACGCCCGGCCGAGATTTGGATTAACTAACACCTACATAAAACTTGTTATGTGCTAGGCACTATTCTAAGAGTTTTAGAAATATTAACTCTGTCTTGGTTGTGACTGGCCAGTGGTGCAGGTGCTAAAGAAATTTACGGAGACAGTCATAGGTAACGAAAGGCAGATTTGTTAGAGAAGATATGAAAATACGTTGCAAGGATGCAATGGGCAGCACTACAGAGGAGGAGCTGTCTGCAAAGAAGCAGGGACTGGAGGGAAGTTTTATAGGGTCATGCTGGAGGGGGGTAAGTGCAGAAAGAGGTCATGCTGCTGGGGCCACTGTGTGGAAGGTGTGCCCTCTGGTTGTTTGTGCTCATTGTTCTTCCCCACCTGGGGCCCACCTGGCCCCTTTCTCATTGTTGCTTACTTCTCAGGACTCTGCATCCCCCCCCCCCCCCCACCCCCGTAACACCCCTCAGAACAACAATGACAAATCTTTGGAATTGGGGATGAGGTCTCATCTTCCAACTGCTTCCTGCTGACCAGGGGTATAGAGTTGACCCTATCTATGGTTGTTGGTCTGTCAGGAGACCCTGTGGGTCATTGTCCCAGACTGTGGGACCTAGGATATTGAATCTTGCTGGAGGAAGGGACTCATCACAGAGTGGGAGTATGTGAAGGCAAAACTGGTGACCAGCTGAATCCAGGGGAGACTCATAAAGCTAGCAGGCATCATTGGGGAGAGACTGATATCCCATTCACAGCATTACTTGAAAGTGAAACTGCTGAATTCTAGAAGATAAAAGTTTGTTTCTTAAGCCAGTTACTGAAAAGGCAAACAAAAAACCCCACAACCATTTGTAGTGTGACTGTTTTTCCTTATTGGAAGCCCATTTAGATAGCCTGGAAGTTAAACTCAAAGAAAAAGTGTTTAAATGTAATTAGACACAAGAAGAGTGTATTCAGGGTTATGAGTATAGCAGGTGAATACATGACTCTTAGGAAAAAGTGTGAAAAGGTTTTTTTAAATTACATTGATAATTTAGACATTTTTTTAAAAGGGCACAAAATTAAGTTATATTAGAGGAAAACATTGCTTCGTTGTTGTTTTTTTTTTTTTTATTTTCAAGATGAAACATTTTAGCATTAGCCCATAATAACAGAATTGGAGGAAAAAGTTACAGGAGCTGACAAAAAATGAAGGAGAGAGTTATTATCTTTGGCATTCTCTGGGGAGAAAAAGCTGAAAGCAGCAAGGCACAGCAAAAGTTGAACTGAGATATTATTCTGTGAAGCTTTAACTTCTTACAATTATATTAAGAGCAGATTAATATCTTAAGAAAATCTTGTTTTTAACATAGGGGACTGATGTTAGATTATCCTAAATTATTCCCTTTCAGTTATAACCAACTTAAACACATACAAAATTCCTTTCATAACTCCTCCTTTGTAAACCTTCTCACGACTTACACAGACTGTATGGACTTTCTGACTTGGACATCAGGGCTTTCTGACTTGTCCTAAACACCCCTTTCTTAAACAACAGGTCATTTTACTTTAGGACAAAAATTTGTCATAAAAGATCCTTTCTTGGCTGGGCGCAATGGCTCATGCCTGTAATCCCAGCAGTTTGGGAGGCCAAAGCAGGCAGATGACTTGAAGTCAGGAGTTCAAGACCAGTCTGGCCAACATAACATGGTGAAACCCTGTCTCTACTAAAAATACAGAAATTAGCCGGGTGTGGTGGTTGGCATCTGTAATCCCAGCTACTCCGAAGGCTGAGGCAGGAGAATCACTTGAAGCTGGGAGGCCGAGGTTGCAGTGAGCCGAGATTGCACCACTGCACTCCAGCCTGGGCAGACTTGGTGTCAAAAACAAAAACAAAAATCCTTTCTCATACAAAATTTTTATTTAAAACCTTCCTTACTGGCTGGTCGCAGTGACTCATGCCTGTAATCCCAGCACTTTGGGAGGCCGAGGTGGGCGGATCACGAGGTCAGGAGTTCGAGACCAGCCTGGTCAACATGGTGAAACCCTGTCTATACTAAAAATACAAAAAAAATTAGCTGGGCATGGTGGCAGGTGCCTGTAGTCCCAGCTACCCTGGGGGCTGAGGCAGGAGCATCGCTTGAACCCAGGAGGCAGAGGCGGAGGTTGCAGTGAGTTGAGATCATGCCACGGCACTCCAGCCTGGGCAACAGAGCAAGACTCCATCTCAAAAAAAAATAGCCAGGCATGGTGGCATGCGCCTGTAATCCCAGCTACTCTGGTGGCTGAGGTGGGAGAATTGTTTGAACCTGGGAGGCGGAGGTTGCAGTGAGAGATCATGCCACTGCACTCAGCCTGGGCAACAGAGTCAATATTTCTGGTTTTCGAACCTTTTACTAAAGGTAACATCCTATGTGAAATTAAGAAGCGTTGGCTGGGCGTGGTGGCTCACACCTGTAATCCCAGCACTTGGGAGGCCGAGGCGGGTGGATCACGAGTTCAAGAGCTCGAGACCATCCTGGCCAACATGGTGAAACCCCATCTCTACTAAAAATGCAAAACTTAGCAGGGCATGGTGGTGCTCGCCTATAGTCCCAGCTACTCAGGAGGCTGAGGCAGGAGAATCGCTTGAACCTGGGAGGTGGAGGTTGTAGTGAGCCAAGAACACACCACTATACTCCAGCCTGGCGACAGAGCGAGACTCCGTCTGAAAAAATAAGAAAGAAGCCTTAACTGAGGGGATTATTTAAACATGAGGTGTCTCCAAAGAGATGGCAAGCAATTTATAAGATCTAGAACTGCTCCAAAGGTAACTCAGAGAAAAGAAAATTTCAAGACAGGAAATCAGAAGCTGTCCATGGAGGGAAAAATAATCAATACACGGCAAAAGTACCACAAGTGTTAAACCACAAAGGAGTGACTTTCAAATCCAGGAATTGAACCCAGGTGCCATTGTGATAGGGCAAAGCCTTAGCAACTGACCTACAGCACAAGGTGACTACTGTTGTTTTACCACGAGTTCAGAGCATTTTCAAGCTTGCAAAAAGTTTTAACTGCTCAAGAGAATTTTCTAAGACTAGCTATGTTATTATTATGCATCCTTCTTTTAATGTAACCATTTTCTTTTCATGGTGTTCTCAATTCCAATAGTGACTCAATCTAAATAAAAGCCTGTTAAAGTCCAGATAGTAATTTTCCAGGTTTTTACCACATAAGCAAAAAGTGTTTCCGGAAAGGGGTAGAGGAGGCATCTCCATGGCAGGCAGCTGTTTAAATCAAAAGGGAAGTTTATGATTTTACTTGCCACCTCCAGAGTTGCCCTTGGCTTTGTTTTATTGATGACTCATGTTTGATCTGGAAGCTAGCCAAAGCAGAAAGCCCCCCTTCAGTTTAAGGCCTGATGATCATCAAGGGTTGGGATTATGTCCCAGGGGCCCTTTGGCCCTCCAGGGCAGTCCCATTTCCGGTGGCCGAGCTTGTGGCAGAAGGGGCAAGCCATGCGGGGTTTTTCGTCATTCATCCCATAGGACCAGTTTGCCTTCCAGTGGCGTGGGCTACTGCACTGATGGCAGTTATCTGGAGGAGTATCCTTAGGGCAACCTGGAATGGAGGCTAGGGACTTGCAAAGCAGCCAACAGTTGACCCTGCTTCTTGTCCCTGCGTTCTTCTTTCTCCTTAGCCCTGTCCTTATCCTGCTCTTGGTTATAAAAGACTGAGGAGACTAATTTGAGGTTTTCTGCATAGAGGCCATGCTGTATTACAAAAGAAAATTGGACATTTTTCATTTTTTTTTATTAATCTCAGGGTTACATTTGTCTCAACGTGGGATGCAACCCAGAGGTTAGTCTGACGGAATAGAGGAAGTTTGTCCCACGGTGGGACTGGAAAACGATGAGCTGCTGGGGGCTAGTGTCTACTGCGGACATGAAGCACACTGTCTCGCTGCAAACCGCCCCCCCACCGCCCCACCGGGAAGAGGACTCAGCTCACATCTGCTGAGGAATTCCAGTGCATTTTTCTTTTCTTTTCTTTCTTTCTTTTTGTGTTTTTTTTCTTTGAGATGCAGTCTCGCTTTGTCACCCAGGCTGGAGTGCAGTGGTGGGATCTTGGCTCACTGCAACCTCCACCTCCCAGGTTCAAGCAAGTCTCCTCTCTTAGCCTCCCAAGTAGCTGGGGTTACAGGCATGCACCACTACGTCCAGCTAATTTTTTGCATTTTTAGTAGAGACAGAGTTTCCCCATGTTGGCCAGGCTGGTCTTGAACTCCTGACCTCAGGTGATCCTCCCACCTCGGCCTCCCAAAGTGCTGGGATTACAAGCATGAGCCACTGAGCCTGGCCTCGAGTGCACTTTCTAAAGGGGCATCCCACCTACTGGAAAGGACATCTCAGCGCTGGGGCCTTACGCTGGATGGTTAGCCCAAGTGCGAGGAAAAAGGGTAAAGGAAAAACTCAGCCTGGTCCCATCCCAGGAGAGAGGACCAGAATGGGGAGACTCACTGCTCTGAGGCTGTTTGCGATCACCTAATTTGGGAACGTCCAGAGCAGGAGGTCTGGCTGTTTTCGCAGGGCTATTTCGAGTAAGAAAGAGGGGCTCTGAGCTCCCCAAAACATATGTGCCAATTGCACCACAAAGGGATTGTAGACCTTTTCGCCAGAAGGGATAGGAGAGGGCCTTCTTCCCTTCTGGGCAAGGCAGCCAAACCTGTTCACACCCGCTGGCCTTCAGGCCACACCAGGAAATGGCCCTGACCAGTTGCCATCAATTGCCAGAGGGATACTAGAATTTGTCGGCTGGAAGACTGAAAAGTAAAGCAAATTCTGAACTCTCACGGGATCGTGGGGCAGCAGTCTGATGTCTTTCCACCGGGACCTCCTGGTTCCCTGGGGAGGAGCCCTGGCCAGGGACTTTAAATTATCTCAGGGTTTTGACGCTGTCCAACGAGAGGTTGGAATTGGAGGAAAGGAAGAGAGTAGGGGAGAGGCCCATACGGGCCACCAAAATGTTGCACGTGCAACTGGCCAGTGGCGCGGGTGGTAAAGGAATTTACCAAGACAGTCATAGGTAAAGAAAGGCAGATTTATTAGAGAAGTCATGAAAAATATGTTGCAAGGAGGCAAAGGGCAGCACTGCAGAGGAGGAGCTATCTGCAAAGAGGCAGGTGCTGGAGGGAGCTGGAGGGGGCTGCATGTGGAAACAAGTCATGCTGCTGGACCCACATGTGGAACGAGGTCGTTGTGCCCTAGGTCTCTCTGAACAATTTTGCATCGTTCTTCCCCACCTGGGGCGCTTTGCTCATTGTTTCTTACTTATCTTAACAGGACTCCGCAAACTCTTAATCCTCACCACTTGAATGGCCCTGGGGAAGAGAAGGCCATTGCATTGAAATGTAATAGTTATGAAATTGCTTTCAAAATTCAGCCAGAAATAATAATTTTGCCTGCCTCTTTTCAATTATCCCATACTAAACTTGCCAAGGCCAATTGTCATTTTATTCCTCACTGTTTATGCTTTCTGCCTGCAGTATGAGGGATTTGTAAGTACTTTTAGATGGTTTCCTTTAAATTGCCTGTATTTTTCTCCCAGCTAGATTAGAAACAACAACCTCTGTTTTTGAGCAACTTAGGTATCTCTTTTTATCTCAAGGTCTCAGCAACCCTTTAGGCCAGCCCCACCTCCCACTCCCTGCTCAAAAGAAATTATAATACATTCTTTTGTTCACAATAGCTACTAAACAATCATTTGTTGAGGAGGCACATGCACTGACCCCAGGAGCTTAACAATTTAGGAGAACAAGACGAGAAGAATGCTACTTTGGCTATCATTTCTAGGTTTTATTCACATCATTCTTGCCTGCTAGTTTTTTTTTTACCTTTCATGTAAATCTTTTGGGAAGGTTTGGGGTGTTTGTGATTTGTAGATTTGGGTTCAACTTGTATTTGACTTGCTCTTGTGGTAACTAAAGGTTACAACGTAGCTTCAAGGTTGTCATGACAACTGGTAAAATAAAGAGCTGATTATCACGTTTGTTACTTCCCTTTTATAGGTGAGGGCCTGGGACACAGGGCAGCAGACTGGGATATGCAGAGAAGAGTAGCCTAATTGTCAAGTCTAGATCTAACAAAAACAGTGTCCCAAGATCATGGCATATTTCCCTGGAACTGGAAGAACTGATCAAGAAACACAGCTAGGTTGGTATAATAATGTGTGAGTAGAAATGGGGAGAAGTGAAAACAATTTCTTTAATGTTGTGTTTGCCATTGTAGCATATAGAATTCTTGCTGTTTTTGTATTACTTGTTCCTTTTGATGTTCCAATTTGTGTATGTACTATGAGTCCTATTTATATCTTTACAGGTTTGGGGTTCCTGACATGTAGCTGTTCTTTAGTAAAAGAGAGCTCTTTCTCTTTGATAATAGCTGTAAATTTACTACCATCTCATATATTTAGTTATTTCATATTACTAACTCCTTTTCTTAGAAACACAATCCATTAGTCACTCTTTCCTTGTCATTTTATTATACCTGTTTTCTTAGTGTTGTACTTATTTAAAAATTAGATACTTGTAAGGCTTAGGCAGGATGAAATTTTGTCTATTTATTCAAAATATACATATGAAATCTTATTACCTGCCAAGAATACTAGCAAACGTTGAAAATTAAAATGAACAGAATGGAGGTAAGATTCCCTTGTTCACTGGCCTGCTTCATATTTTTCTGTTATTCAGGCAATTTGTTTTTTTACTCTGTTCTGCCTTTAATCACTGCTTCTACATTCACCCTGAATTTACTCAGCTTTAACCACCATCTTTTATAAACTTTCAGGTACCCTGGGAATTTTAACAGTGGCTTTTAGGACATCTTGATACTAGCCTGAATTCTGCTGCTATCTAATTATGTGCCATTAATCTCTTTGGAATTTTATCCAACTGTAAAACAGAAATGATTTACCTACTTTACAAGATAACTATGAAAGATAGGCTATTTAAACCTGCATTTATTCATAAAATAATTTCATAAGTATTTATCAAGTGCTTATGAGTACAGAAATTGTGTCCAGGGAGATATTCTGAGGCACCTCATTTTTTTTTTTACTTAAACAGAAGGGCAGAGGAATCTTGGCTTTGCCACTTAGTAGTTGTAACTTGAGTAACCCCTCTGGGCTTTGGTTTCCCCCTGTGAAAAATGGGCATTGTGATGGTGCCTACCTCAAAGAATTATTGTAAACTTTAAATGCAATAACCTATTTAAAGTGATTAGGACAGTACCTGGCACATAGTAAGTGTCCAAGAAACAGTAGCTATTATTAATCTGTCTTATATCAGGAATGGGGACTCCACATCATCTTCATGTCTGGGATTTAAGTAATCTGATTCTGCCTAATATAATCAAGTTTGTCTTATTCTATTCCCAGAATGAACAAAGAATACATATTTATTATCTTACATGTCATAACTTGTCACGAACTATCTCAAGACTGTCCCATTATTTTAAGTTCACCACTGGGTAGCTGAGCAGGGTTAATGATTGAACCAATCCAGATAAGTATGTAAAAACATTTTGTAGGCCAGGTGCAGAGGCTCACACCTGTAATCCCAGCACTTTGGGAGGCCGAGGCGGGTGGATCACCTGAGGTCGGGAGTTCGAGACCAGCATGACCAACATGGAGAAACCCCATCTCTACTAAAAATACAAAATTAGCTGGGAGTGGTGGCACATGCCTGTAATCCCAGCTACTCTGGAGGCTGAGTCAGGAGAATAGCTTGAACCCGGGAGGTGGAGGTTGCGATGAGCCAAGATTGCGCCATTGCACTCCAACCTGGGCAACAAGAGCAAAACTCTGTCTCAAAAAAAAAAAAATTGTTATCTATAAAGTGTTATGATTATTTTAATTAACAACTCCCATTTCACTAGGTTTATTTGCCTTCTCAGCCAGTTCTCTATATGGTTACTAAAATGTGTGGTTTTACAAAATTATTAGCATGGAGTTAAGATTTTAGTACTTAGTGTGGCTCATTAAGTGATGGTTAAAATTTCTAAAACAGCAGTTCTTAAAATGATATGAGCCATGGCAGCATTCTTAGAATGTATGTAGTTTCTAATACTACCTGAAATGAAAACACTGATTTGCATAGATACTAAATTCTGAGATATTTGTTTTTTAAAAAGCCTCACTGCTTTAACTCAAATCTTTGTAAATTAGCTGAGGTCTTTTTTATATGAATAGCTGTGAGGAGCCAGATTATATATAATGTAAAAACACACACCGAGGCAGGCGCGGTGGCTCACGTCTGTAATCCCGGCACTTTGGGAGGACGAGGCAGGCGGATCACCTTCGGTCCAGGAGTTCGAGACCAGCCTGGCCAACATGGTGAAACCCCATCTCTACTAAAATACAAAAATTAGCCAGGCGTGGTGGCGAGCGCCTGTAATCCCAGCTACTCGGGAGGCTGAGGCAGGAGAATCGCTTGAACCTGGGAGGTGGAGGTTGCAGTGAGCCAAGATTACGGCCAGTGCACTCCAGCCTGAGCAACAAGAGCGAAATTCCATCTCAAAAAAAAAAAAAACAACAACAAAACTGTACAATTATGGTTTAAAATAGAAAGAAACCACACTGAAAACAGTAATTCGTTTGCCAAATGAACTCAGTTAGGTTAGCACCTTAGCAAGACCCTTTGGGAACAAGTGGCCTCTAAGTACTTCGGTAGCAGTATCTTTTTTTTTTTCTTTTCAGACTTTTGCTTTTCTAAAATTACAAAGGTGTAGTGTGTCTGCTGTTACAGGATGGAAAAATGCATCATAGGAGGTTGGAAGCTTGTTGGCCTCAGTCATAAAGGGATAAGAAAATTGAGAATTAGGCATAGGGCAGAAAGGACCTCACCCCTCCCAACGCTTTCATTTCTAAATAATGCTTAAGGAAACCATGCCAGGGTTTGTAAAAGAGTAGAGGCACAACCACGGGGAGTGGGCACTGGGGAAGGAGGAAGGAGGGGACGACGTGGGGCTAAAGCGGCTTCTTTGCGCCTGCGCCCCTGGCAAAGCTGACAGAGGAGCGTGAAGTGACGTCATTGCCTGCGTCACAATACGCGTCGTCTGACTGGAAGCGTATCGCAGGCTCTGAGGGGCGGAACCCAACGGATGGTCAAAGGCGGCAGATTGTAGTTTTTGTTTTGGCCGGAAAGGCTTACCATGAGTTGCCAGGACTGAGATGGAGAAGGATTCGCGGCGGTGACAGATTAAATTCCCCAGTTACATTATAGACTTGGAGGTGGGGGATCTTCTCATCGTTAGAGGCCCCGATCATGGGAGATAGGCGGTTCGGAGCCAGTCCTGCCTAACTTTGTGTTCACTGATGTTAGGGATGCTAGGGCTGCAAAGGTGGGCACCCCTACTCGTCTAAGAGCTTTCTCCTCTCTTCTCTTTTTCCCCTTTGCCTCTCTCCTTACATCACCTGCCCACTAAGTCGACTTGTCCTTGTGTGAACGGCAGCCGGAAAGCCTTGAGAACTTATTCCTCGACCCGGACATGGCACGGGAGAAAATGGAAGTAGGTTCCGAATCGCTGCCGAGTTCCACTACCGCAGACAGCAACATTCCGAGAAGAGTCAACAGTGCCCCTTTGATCAATGGACTTGGGTGAGCCAGGTTGAGATACTGAAGGAGGCAAGTGGGTGGGGAGGAGGTGTTCGGGAAAGTGATTTCCTATAGAATTCCCGTCCCTTTATTTGTTGAGGTTCTGCAGGTATCTCCCTTGTTCCTGGTGTCCTGAGATCCCACCCTCAACCTTGGGTGGGGGTAGTGGGACGGGCTGACCTGAGGGACAGCGCGCACCCACCCTGAGGTTGACAGACATCTGAATCTGAACATCCTCCCCTGATAGTCCACCCGGACCCGAATGCAGCAGCCAATTGGTGTGGAGCACGGCTTTTTTCTAACTTCACCCCATTTCTTACCCATTCCTTTGAAGAAACTTAGCATCCTCCCCCACTCACCCCCAGATCTTCTGCCATGACTGTAATATTTGTCATTTCAGCTGCTTTATCACCTCTGACCTTCACCTCCAGCCACTTGAATGGAAATGGTTGTCAAGCAAATAAACTTTGGACTTTTTTTACACCTTTTTTTTTTTTTTTTTTGAAACAGAGTCTTGCTCTGTCGCCCAGGCTGGAGTGCAGTGGCACGATCTCAGCTTACTGTAACCTCCGCCTCCTGGGTTCAAGCAATTCTCGTGCCTCAGCCTCCCTAGTAGCTGGGATTACAGGCGCCTGCCACCACACCCGGTAATTTTTTGTATTTTTAGTAGAGACAGGGTTTCACCATGTTGGCCAGGCTGGTCTCGAACTCCTGGCCTCAGGTGATCCGCCCGCCTCAGCCTACCAAAGTGCTGGGATTACAGATGTGAGCCACTGCTCCTGTCCTACACCTATGGGCGCAAAAAGTTTTGGGACCACAGAAGCTTGATCTCCTAAATTACACATTCTCACTGGGTGATACTTACCCCAAGCGGGGAGAAAATAGTTCTTAGGGGAGTGTGAAAAATTTTTACTCTTTTTATGTATAAAGCACAGATATACATACAGTCTGTACACAGATATATAGTATATATGTGTTATTAAAATTTCACGGAGGGGAAGCAATTAGGGGAAAAAATGTCTAAAAAGGCTTTTTAGAGGGTCAATAATGAAAAAATAATTTAGAAACACTGCACTAAATGATGGTTAACTGTATTTCTGAAGATCTGGGATTACTGAATCTTGTTTCCTTTTTTTGTTTTTTAAGACGGAGTCTCACTGTGTCGCCCAGGCTGGAGTGCAGTGGCGTGATCTCGGCTCACTGCAACCTCCGCCTCCCGGGTTCAAGCGATTCTCCTGCCTCAGCCTACCGAGTAGCTGGGACTTCAGGCACCCGCCACCACGCCCGCCTAATTTTTTGTATTTTTAGTGGAGACGGGGTTTCACCGTGTTAGCCAGAATGGTCTCAATCTCCTGACCTTGTGATCTGCCCGCCTCGGCCTCCCAAAGTGTTGGGATTACAGGCATGAGCCATCGCGCCCGGCCTAAATCTTACTTAAATTAGACTTTTAAAATGATATTTTGGATCTCACATTTCAGTATTATAAGGTTTTCTAGATATCATAAAAATGTCTGAAAAATGCATTCACTACATACATTGCTAACTTTGCTCCTCACCTTTTGTGGCATCATACTGATTGATAGTTGTAATTCACAGTACCATAGACTTATCAGGAAGGGATTCAGAGACCAGCTTTACCCTCCTTGTTTAACATATGAGGAAACTGAGGCCCATAAATCTCCAAAATGACATGTTTAGTGGCAGAGCCAGTACAAGGAACCTCTGTTTCCTGACTCCTAAATGACTGTTCTGGCCACTACTAATGAATAACTAAGTTGATTAACTAAATAAATGCAGCTTTTGGGTCATTTGAGGTAGGAGAGAATATACTGTTCACAAAATGAAAAGCAAACTAAGATTGACCAAAAAAAAAAAAAAAAATACATTACCTTTTTAAAATGGGCAGGTAGAAAAACATAGAAGGGGGACTCTGCATGTTGTGCTGAGAACAAGAACATTTTATTCACTCAGGATTTTGCTCTAATCCTGTTGTGGAAATAAAGGAATTATGGGACCCACTCTACTAGTAGAAGAGAGCAGTAGGGAGAATGTTGGGTTTATTGAAGACAATATAAAAAGAAGAAATAGACTGCAAATAGACGATGGAGGATGTGTACTTGAAAGAACCTGTGGATCCTCTTTAATGTATTAAATATGCCAGAGAAGGAGTGGACCCTTCCCTAATCCTCAAAGCTTTGGAAACAGAGAGATCTCAGTTATCCCTTCATATCTTGCTTTGTTCTGCAAAGGATTTTTTTTTGTTTTGTTTGTTTTTTGCTTTTATCATATTAGAGCATAGCTATAGTGTTAAATTCCATAGCTAAAGATCCTAATGCATGAAGTAAAATTTTTACAGAAAGGTAAGGGTCACTAGCATATTTCTCTAGTAGGAGTTTAAAGATATAGAAACCACAAAGTGGACGGAGTCCAGGGACTCTAGTCCATCAGAAAGAAGTAACATAGGAATGATGTGTGACATCCCTGAGATTGGGGAACTTGCCTAGATGATCTGAGGGCATATTTTGTGCTGTTGTAGAAAATGTAGGGCATGGTCAGAGAAGTTATTCTGAAGCAAGAAAAATTTAGAGTAGGATTACACTGAGCCTTAGTTGAATTCATTTTCACCTCAGTTCTTATTTGCATATGCATACTGCTCACTTTTCTCCCTTTTTTTTTCTTCCTTGGCCCTCTAATACTTGTGTACTTCCCCTTTCTAAACTATACCTGGCAGTAAAGCATTCTCTTCAGAAAGTGAGAATCACTAGCATATTTCTTTAGTAGGAGTTATAGAAACCACAAAGTGGACAGAGTTCACGGACTCCGGTCCATCAGAAAGAAGTAACATAGGAATGATGTGTGACATGCCTGAGGTCAGGGAACTTGCCCAAATGATCTGAGGGGATGTTTTGTGCTGTTGTAGAGAATATTTAGCTTGCTAAACATTGTTGCACCTCTTTCAAGTCATTTTCGAACTTTGCTCCATGTTTCTTCTATATAAAGACCCTCTTGCACCAGCATTTGCAGAATTAAATTCCTTACATTGGTTTCTTTTATATCAATTTTTTAATACAGTATTACTGTTTTAAAGAAGTATCTGCACTGTTTTATGTATATCTTGAACTAATAAAAATTCCAACGTCAAAAGTTTTGAACCTCTTGGTTCTTTATACTCTTTATCCCTGTAGTTGGCTGACTTTATTACTAGTGTCAATAACTATGTTTAAAGCTAGGAGTTTTTTTCTTCTCTTTTCTCTGACCCTTATGCAAAGACTCAGAGATTAGGTTCTTGTATTCCTGCCAGTGCCTCCCTACCTTAAAAACCTCTACCTTGACCCTGCATTTAAACTGTTACTGCCTCAATTATTATTACTATTTTCCTGAGATGGAGTCTTGAGGCTGGAGTGCAGTGGTTCAATCTTGGCTTACTGCAACCTCTGCCTCCTGGGCTCAAGCGATTCTCCTGCCTCAGCCTCCTGAGTAGCTGGGACTACAGGCACGCACCACCATGCCTGGCTAATTTTTGTATTTTTAGTAGAGACGGGTTTCACTATGTTGGCCAGGCTGGTCTCGAACTCCTGACCTCATGATCTGCCCACCTTGGCCTCCCAAAGTGCTGCTATTACAGGCATGAGCCACTGCCCCTGACCCTCAATTCTATTTGAAAGGCAAATTACTGCCCCAGACCCAAATGCAGCCCACCACCTGGATTTGCAAATAAAATTTTATTGGAATGGAACCATCCCCATTTGTTTAGTTATTATCTATGGCTACTTTCCCACTGCAGTGGCAGAACTGAGGAGTTGCAACAGATACTGTATGGCCCACAAATCCTCAAATGTTTACTCTCTGGCCCTTTGCAGAAAAAGTTTGCCCATCCTCTGGTTTATTGAACTCTTACGAACGTGGAAGAATAGCAGCCATGAAAAATGATTACTTTGGGAATATAAGTGACATAAATCTATTATAGTTTAGACAGAGCTGTTTATTGATCATTTGATGTGGAACATTGAACTTCATCCAGTTATACTACCTTTGCTTTTTCCGAGTTAGAAGTAGCACTTAACTCAGTTCAGATATCACCTAGGGTTTTATAAATTCATGTTGAATAATGCATATCAGTTGAAGTATATATTGCCTGAATTCTTTCTTTCAGTTATAGTCTTACTAAAATTGGCGAACAAATTTAGGGTAGAATATATCATTGCTAGCCCTAAGAATTAAGCCCCCTACACATGTAAACAAAAAAGAGTGGGAAGAAATAGCCCATTAGTGTCCCTCCAATTTTCTTATAAGTGACTGCCAGAACATATTCCTATTCTCACAAAGAAAATGACTGGGAAAGGAAGTAAACTTAGATACATCCATATACCTTCCATTCATAAAATAGTAAGTTACCGCCTGCTATATGCAAATTATGATGTTGCAAAGACATATCTCAGGGCTCAATAAACTTTAATAGGGACTGTAAATACTTGAAGGACTTAAATGTGTGGTAGAGTAAGACAAGTGCGTAGGGAGCTAAAGAAAGTGCTAGGGGAATTCAAAGAAGGAAGGGAGAAATTACAGCGGGACTGGTGAGGGAGAAGGACAAGTTTATGAAGAAGGTGACAATTGAGATGGGCCTTCATGGATTGATAGGATACACCCTGGAAAAGAGGGGGACCAATGCTTGGGATAGTATTTTAAGTATTATATACAGAACAGACTTGAAGGCAGAAAAGCATAGATGTATTCCAGAGAACTGAATGGTCCACTTTGCCTGAACCCCTGACTCCCAAATGTTCATCTGCCGATCAGTGCTGATCTCAGGTGAAGTTTTTACCAATCCATGCCTTTAAAAAAGTTAAGTACAGCATAATTAAAGATGTCATTATGTAGTTGCTAATTATCCTTCCTGGGCAGGACTGTACTGTACTCTGAGATTTGTTATTCTCTTATTTTCTTAATACCAAAGTGTCATTTTACAAATGAAATGATGGTGTTGGTCAATGGTGGGATTTTTTAAAAAATGACTTGACTTGGTAAAAGAAAGAGGTGGCAACTATGTTTCTGCCTAGATTTTGTTTTGAAATTGTACTAGTCCATGAAATTGAAGAGTCTGGAGCCAAACTGTGGAAGGCTTTGAATGTCATAGTAAAGAACGTAACTGAATTTGACAGGCACTGAAGAGAGTCATTGAAAGTTGTGAGCAAACTGTTCTTTAGGCAGGTGCCCCTGGTAGTCTGTTAGATAGCCTAGAGAAGGGAAAGAAGAGAGGCAAGGAGCCCAGTTAGACTATGGCAGTCTGTGGAAAAGGAAAAAGACCTTGAATTGGTTTTTGGCAAGGAGCATGAAAAGAATCGGGTGGATATCAGAGAGAGAGAGTATAGAGGTAAAATCTAAAATACTGGCAGTTGACTGGATATAGGCAGCTAAAACAAAAGTGTTATAGATGATATCTCACATTGGAGGAACCTGGATGAAGGGTACATGCGAACCATCTGTATTCTTTTTGCAACTTCTGGTGAGTCTTAAACCGTTTCAAAATAAGAAGTTATAATAAAAAGGAAAACATGCCAGACACAGCTGGGATCTGTAGTCCTAGCTATTTGAGAGGCTGAGGCAGGAGCGTCATTGAGCCTAGGAGTTTGAGGGCAGCCTAGGCAACATATAGCGGGGCTGACCACATCTCTGAAAAAACAATGAAATGATTTCTTCAGGATTACAAGGTCAAATAGGACCGAGTTCACTTGGTGGGCAACCATCAAAGCTGAGGACACAGACCTAACTTCAGTGGGCAGCAGCTGCACAACTTCAGTCCATTGTTATCATGGGAATGTGGCCCAGTGTTGCAAAATCTTGCAACTTTTCAGTAGAAGCCAGAAAGTTGGAATCTGGGTGTTGTTTTTTGTTGTTTGTTTGTTTTTGTTTTTTTTAATGTGAAATCTCACAGTGTGCAAAACAAATTCAAAAACATTGTTGACACTGTGTAGGCCAAACCAAACACATCTGTGGAAAATCTGAGTTCCATCAACCCCTGCTATTGTTATTCCTCTTATTCATGTGAAACTTTGGGAATTGAGAGGGAATTGATATTTGCACCTTGTAGCTCTGATCATAAATTTAAATCATTTACAGGTTTAAACTGAAAATGATGTATTTCCAAGTTCACAATAAATTATATTCATTCTCCGTAGCATAATTAGGAGTAAAGTAGGGTGCTTGAGAATTCCTTACCTTATATGGAGACTTGTTTAGGCTCAGCCAACCAAGGCTGTATGTGTGTGTGTGTTTTAATTTCTACCTTTGCACAGCTTGCCTTTACCCTTGCTGTTTAGGTATTTGAAATCTTCTTTAAAAGAATTTTGTGGCCGGGCATGGTGGCTCACGCCTGTAATCCCAGCACTTTGAGGGGGACAAGGCGGGTGGATCACCTGAGGTCAGGAGTTCGAGACCAGCCAGACCAACATGGTGAAACCTCGTCTCTACTAAAAACACAAAAATCAGCTGGGCATAGTGGTGCATGCCTGTAATCGCAGCTACTAGGGGGGCTGAGGTAGGAGGACTGCTTGAACCTGGGAGGCAGAGGTCGCAGTGAGCTAAGATCGTGCCACTGCACTCCAGCCTGGGCAACAGAACAGAGCGAGACTCCATCTCAAAAAAAATTTTTTTTTTGTAATGGATTTTATAACAAATGTTTTTCTTTTTCTTTTTAGTTTTAATTCACAGGTGTTGCAAGCTGACATGTTAAGAATTAGGACAAACAGACCAACGTTTAAGAATCGACACTGTCTGGTAAGAAAATGCTTATAATGGCCTCCCTGTCCAACACTTGTGCTTATTGGTCTTAACCAATGGTCTTCAAACTTGAGCATTCACAGGGAGGACTTATTAAAACACAGATGGCCAGCGGGAGTCTCACCCCCAGGGTTTCTGATTAAGTAGATGGGGGTGGAGCATGAGAATTTGCATTTCTAACAAGTTCCCACTTTGAGAAACACTGCTCTAAACATTACTGAAGGAAAAATAAACACATTGACTACAGTTATGATTGCTGCAGCTGCAACAGAATTAATTTTTAAATCCCATATGGATTTAATATTGAGATTTTATGTATAAGACCATCTGGTTTCCAATTTTTTTTTAAAGAAAATTGTAACTTTGAGAGGAAAATTTGCAGACTCTCCTAAAAGTAATTTTTAGGCTTTTAGTTAGACTTTTATCTCACATTTATCTTGAATTATAAATAAGATTTGCTTTTCATGGTATTATCATGCAATCTCTAAATTATAACTCTTTTCTACTAATTATCCTGTAAACATAGAGAATATACTTGTAGATCAGTAAGCCAAGGTGAATACATGATTCATTATATGATTTTTTTATTGAGATGAAATTCACATAACATTCAATTAACTATTTTAAAGTATACAGTTCAATAGCATTTAGTGCATTCACAATGTTGTTCAACCACTACCGCTCTCTAGTTTCTTTTTTTTTTTTTCTTTGGTTTTTATTATGCTTTAAGTTCTAGGGTACATGTGCACAACGTGCAGGTTTGTTACATATGTATACAATGTGCCATGTTGGTGTGCGCACCCATTACTCATCATTGACATTAGGTATATCTCCTAATGCATCCCTCCTCTCCCCCCTCCCCCACAATGGGACCCAATGTGTGATGTTCCCCTTCCCGCAGTGCAAGTGACTCACTTGTTCAGTTCCCACCTATGGTGAGAACATGCGGTGTTGGTTTCTGTTCTTGTGATAGTTTGCTAAGATGATGTTTCCACGCTGCACATCACATGTCCCTACAAAGGGACACAAACTCATCCTTTTTTTATGGCTGCATAAGTATTGCCATGGTGTATCTGTGCCCACATTTTCTTTAATCGCAGTCTGTCACCTGATGGACCATTTGGGTTGATTCAAGTCGGTTTGCTATTGTGAATAGTGCCGCAATAGCAACAACGTGTCGCATGTCTTTATAGCCAGCATGACTTATAATCCTTTGGGTATATTACCAGTAATGGCGACATGGCTCGCGGTCTCATACTGGTACATCTAGGTTCACAGATCCTTGAGGAATCGGCCATACTGTTTTCCATAATGGTTGAACTAGTTTACGCAACCCAGCCAACAGTGTTAAAAGTGTTCCTATTTCTCCACATCCTCCTCCAGCACCTGTTTGGTTTCCAGG